GACTGTGATCAAAGTAGTTATGGATTTCTTTTTATTTACCTTGCTAGAGGTTTAGTGAGCTTTCCGAGATTTAGTGTCTTTCCACATTTCTGGAAAATTCTTAGCCATTATCTCTTCAGATATTATCTCTTCTTCATTGTCTATTTTCTCCCTCTACATCTTCAGACATGTTAGATCTTCTCATCCACATCCTCAACATTCTTTAAATCTTTTATTTTCTATATCTTTCCCTATGTTTCTCTATGTTGCACTCTACATAACTTTATTTGGATCTCTCTTCTGGTTGTGTGGACTATCCATATAGTTTTTAATTTTAATTTAAGAAAAAATTTCTAGATTTTTTTTTGTTTCTTTTTATAGTTTACGTGGTTGATTTCTATACTGTAGTTTTTTGTTCCTTTTTCATATTTCCTAGCTTTTTATTAGTTGAAACCTATTAAACATTTCATATACTGTATGTGGTAATTTCAACCTCTGAAGGCTTTGAGGATCTGTTTCTGCCTTTTGTTTTTCTACTAATTTTCAGGTATTAGTACCTCATTTTCTGTGTTTTGTGAGGAGTTTTTGTTTTTTGCTATGAGCTCATGTTCCTTGGAAATTTATCTGTGGGAATTCATTGAATCCTAACTAAAGTTGGATTCTTTCAGAAAAGGATTTGTCTTTGTTTCTTCTACCTCTCTGGGGACCTAGGTTTTTGGCTTGAGGTCTTTTTGGATGGACTACATAGATAGCCTGAATTTGGTCTTCAGGTCTGTGTGAAGGCTGACTTATACTTATGAATTCTTGGGGTAAACTTTGCTCCTTCACCCACTGCTACTTTCCTCGCTGCCATCTTTTGTGTGGCAGACTTGTCTCCATTTCAACCTTACACTGAAGATATAATTCTTTGAGTGCCAGCTTTAAATGTATATCTCCTGCTATAGATTGCTTACCTCGAGTGGGCCCAGGCCACATCTGTTGTCTTTGATGCTCCTTGCAGCCATCAAAATGGAATCTTAACGTCCCTAGGGTTTGGTAGACAGCTTCAGGGAAGAATATGGCTTTGTTGTGAGGCTGCTGCANTGAGAGGGTAATTGGTTATGATGTTGGAATCTAAAGATTAAGCTAGTTCTTAAAAAAAAAATTGGGACCTATTTTCCTACTTTATCTAACAATGTTTGATCCTGAACACATAAGATGTGCAGATAAAGCACAGAAGTACAAGATCAAATCCAGTTATACTGATAATACATACATACATATGAGGGGTTTTCAAAAAGTTTATGAGAATATTTGTATTATCTTTTAATTCTATTTTTCCACACACTTTTTGAAATACCTTCATACATAAATACATATAGATAGGTTGGTAGGAAGGTAGGTAGATAGAAGGGGGGGAAGATAAATACATACAAGCAACTGTGGGCATTTATGTGTATTAGAGCAGTCTAAATCCGAGACTATATGAGTTATCTAGACCTATGTGAGCTATCACAACACGACAAGTCTACTTAAATGCATAAATGGTCTTTCTGTGATATTTGAGGGAGGATTTTTAAAAACCCTAGCCAACCTTCACATTCCTTGATTTTTGCATCCAGAAATTTTGGGGAAGATTACTTTACTGTCTTGACACCCAGGCAAAATTGTGTCACTTGTGAATGTGCTAAGATTATAGAAGGTTATTGTATTTCTGAGAGTAATGGCTAGACACTCAGGAATAATTGGCAGACAAAAGGAAAAGAAGGTTGAAAAAAAGCAGCCCTCGCTAAGAGCATCCTCAGATCCAGTTCTTTTTTTTTTTTTTAAAAGATGTCCAGTAAGGAGATCTTAACCCTTGACTTGGTGTTGTCAGCACCACACTCTCCCAAGTGAGCCATGGGCCGGCCCTCTCAGATCCAGCATTTCCTGAGTTTGGGTTGCATGAAGTCTACATGCAATCTACACAAAATCTACATTTTCACAGTGAGAGGTTCCTGTTTGGATGCCTATGTGCCTTTTGAGGTGAGATGTATACATGTTGACTGATTCTCTTTATCTGAGTCAAGAGAATCTCTTTAAAGAGCTGGCAGTATATAGAAAAACACTCTCTTTTTCAGACAGATTCTAATTTCAGTTTATGGTAAGACAAAGGGTATCTTTCTTAGCTATGGGTTTTTCTGCCAGATCACCAGGTGACAAAGTAGATTGGGCTTTCATAGCATCACCTCTACACCTTTATCCTTCCCTGCCGACTTCTCTCCCTGTTTCCCCTCTAAGCTTGGATTCAAATCCTGGCTCGACACTTAACAACTAAGGTAGACTAGTCAGTAAGCTGTCTGAACTCAATTTTCTAATGAATTAAATGAAATAATATCAGCCTTAAAGATATCATTGTGAGAATTAAATAACACATG